AACAAGTTTTTTTTTTGGAAATATTTTAAATTTTTATCGTGGCACCAATTTTGCAATTTTTAGATATTTATTTTAATTTTTCATTTTATCAACTTTTCGATTTTTCAGTTTTTTTGAATTTTAATTTTTTCGAATTTTCGGTGTCAGGGTTACAATTTCTCTTACTTTTAATTTGTCGATTTTTCAATTTTCCAGATTTTCACTGCGTGTTGTAGAATATTGAAATTACCGGAGCAAAAATCCTTTGGTTCACAATTTTTCAAAATTTCGGTTATAATAAATTTGTGCTTTTTATTGCAAAATTGAAAAATAAACACCCAAAAATGAACTATAACAATCGAGAACTTGAAAAATTAAAAATCTAAAAATTCCATGATCGTAAAACTGAAAAATAGGAAATTGAAGAACTAAAAATTGGAAAATCAAAAATAACAACCAAAACTACCTATCTCAAATTGAAAAATTGTAAAAATTCAAGAAACGGAAAACTGAAAAATCGAAAATCTACAAAATAAAAACTAAAAAATAAAAAATTGAAAAACCAGGTAACTGAAAAATTGAAAAATTTTGAGAAATCGAAAAATTAAAAATCGAGAAATTGAAAAATCGAAAAGTCAAAAAATGTGATAAAAAAATTGCAAAATTGTAAAAACGACAAATCCACAACAATATAAAAATTGAAAAATCGAAAAATTGTAAAATCAAAAAACCGTAACTTTGAAACATCGAAAACCGCAGACTTGAAAAACTAAAAAATTCGAAATCGTGAAATTGAAAAAAACTAGAAATTAAATCATCTCAACAGATAATTATTATACTTAATATCGAAAAATTGAAGAAAAAAAAAATTGGAAAACCGAAAAAACAAGCAAAACTACCTACCTCAAATTGAAAAACTGTAAAAATTCAAAAAACGAAAAACTGAAAAATCGAAAATCTGCAAAATAAAAAGTAAAAAATAGAAAAACGGGGTAACTGAAAAACTGAAAAATTTTGAGAAACCGAAAAATTAAAAATCGAGAAGTTGAAAAGTCGAAAAGTCAAAAAAACGGAGAAATCGGAAAATTGCAAAATCGTAAAATCGATAAATCGACAGTTATAGAAATTGAGAAATCGAAAAATTAAAAAACGAGAAATTGAAAAATCAAAAAGTAAAAAAATGGGATAATGAAAAAAATTGCAAAATTGTAAAATCCATAAATCCATAACAATATAAAAATTGAAAAATCAGAAAACCGTAACGCTGAAACATCGAAAACCGCAGACTTGAAAAACTAAAAAATTCGAAAATACGAAATTGAAAAAAAACTAAAAAATAAAAAAACGGAAAATTGCAAATTTATAAAATCAATAAGTTAACAGATATAGAAATTGAAAAATTGAATATGTAATCGTAAAATTTACGAAAAAAAAAAATGTAAAATCAAAAACCACAACGTGGAAACGTTGAAAAATTGAAAAATCTCATTGAACAATTATACAATTAACAACAGAAATATTGCGAAATCGTAAAATAACAAAAATAATTAAACAAACGAAAGATCGAAAATTTCAAAAGCTATAAAACCGGAAAACCAAAAAAATCTGAGAATTGAATAATTGAAAAATAGATAGGAGTAATATGAAAAATTGACAAATTGCAAAATTGTAATAATCCGAATAAACGAGAAATTAAAAAATCGAGAAATTGCAAAATTCAGTGTTGAAAAATTGAAAACTTGAAATATTGTAAATCGAAAACCTGAAGAATAAAAAAACTGTAACATTGAAATGTTCAAAATCAAAAAAAAAGAAAAATTGCAAAATAAAAATCGAAAAACCAAAAAATCGATTAATTCAACATCTTAAAATCGAAAAACTGAAGAAACAAAATTGGTTTACCATTTTTCAAAATTTCGGTTCAAATACATTTGTGCTTTTTATTGCAAAATTGAAAAATAAACACCCAAAAATGAACTTGAAAAATTAAAAATCTAAAAATCTCATAATCGTAAAACTGAAAAATAGGAAATTGAAGAAACGAAAAATTGAAGAACTAAAAATTGGAAAATCGAAAAAACAAGGAAAACCACCTATCTCAATTTGAAAAATTGTAAAAATGCAAGAAACGGAAAACTGAAAAATCGAAAATCTGCAGAATAAAAACTAAAAAATAAAAAATTGAAAAACCGGGTAAATGAAAAATTGAAAATTTTGAGAAATCGAAAAATTAAAAATCGAGAAATTGAAAAAACAAAAAGTCAAAAAACGGAGAAATCGAAAAACTGTAAAATCGTTAAATCGATAAATCGATAAATCGACAGATATAGAAATTGGAAAGTTTCGAAAACACAGAAATGTTGCGAAATCGTAAAATAAAAAAAATATGAAACAAACGAAGAATTGAAAATTTCAAAAGTTAAAAAACCGGAAACTCAAAAGAATCTAAGAATGGAATAATTGAAAAATTAGAAAAATCAAGAGAAAAATTTAAACATAGATAACATGAAAAATTGACAAATTGCAAAATTGTAAAATCGAAAAAATGAAAAAACGAAAAATTTTCCAATCAAAAAACAGAAACATTGAAAAACTGGAAAATTAAACATCGGGAAATGGAAAAAATCCAACGAAAAATTGCCGAAAACGTAAAAATGAAAAAGGAAAAACCTAAAATATCGAAAAACTGTAAAATTGCAAAAACGAAGAATTGTAAAATCAAAAAACTGTAACATTAACACATCGAAAAGCTAAAATCTCCAATTGAAAAACATCAAAAAATTTAAAAAAAGAAAAATTGCGAAGTTAAAACCGAAAAACTGAAAGAATGAAAAGTTGGGTAACCGAAAAAAAAGAATAATTGAGAAATCGAAAAATTAAAAATCAAGAAATCGAAAAATCGGAAAACTTTGAAAACGTAAAAATGGAAAAGAGGAGCATTCAACACTAGTAAAATTTAAAAATTCAAGTTACAAAATCGATAAGACTAAAACTGAAAACTAGAAAAATTGTAAATGAAAAAATTGAAGAAACGAAAAATTGGGAAATCAAAAAAATGTAACATGGAAAATTGAAAAAAAACAATAATTTCAATATCGAGAAATTGCGAAATCGTAAAATTTAAAAATCAGAAAGTTAAAAAATTAAAGAAAGTAATATTCAAAAGCAAAAAAACTACAAAAAGAAACATCTAAGAAACATCACAAAATTGAAAAAAAAAAACTTGAGAAATTGTAAAATCGAAAAACTGAAGAAATAACAAATTGAACAACTGAAAATTTAAAAATTGAGAAATGGAACAGGAAAAATTAAAAAAACGAAATATTAAAAATTTAAGCTAAAACATTGAAAAATCTAAAATTGAAAACAAGACATTTTCAAAACTAAAAATGTAAGAAACGAAAAATTGTAAAATAGAAAAATTAAAGATTAAGAAACAAAAAAATCACAAAATTGAAAGAATAAATAACTAAATTATCTAAAAATTCAGAAATTTAAAAATCCAAAATTGGAATAATCAAAAAAATCGAAAAATCGAGAAATTAAAAAATTGAAAAATTGCAAAATTTAGTGTTGAAAAATTGGAAACTTGAAATATTGTAAGTCGAAAAACTGAAAAATAAAAAAACTGAAATATCGAAATGTTCAAAAACAAAAAAAAATTGAAAAATTTTAAAATTAAACCTCGAAAAATTGCAAAATAAAAATCGAAAAACCAAAAAATTGATTAATTCAACATCTTAAAATCGAAAAACTGAAGAAACAAAAAATTGAAAAAATGCACAATAAAAACCGGAAAATTAACAAATTCAAAAAAAGAGTAATTGAGAAATCGGAAAAATTGTAACAATCTAACATCGGAAAACTAAAAAATCAAAATATCGAGAAACTGAAAAACAAAAAAATCAAAAACTTGAAAAATAGAAAAATTGCGAGGACGTAAAAATGGAAAAATAAAAAATTACAAAATTGAAACAAAAAATTCAAAAGTTAAAAATTCGAAAAATTTAAAATTGAAAACTAGAAAAATAGAAATCCAAAGAAAATTGGAAATCGAAAGAATGAAGAAGCGAATAATTGTAACAGAAACGTCGGAAAACTCAAAAAATAAATATCGAGAGAAAAATTGTTAAACAAAAAAATCTAACTGAAAAACTGAAAAACAAATTATTATTATTAAAATTAAAAAAATTGCAGAATTATAAAACCGGTAAATCCACAATTTTAAAACTGAAAAACTAAAAATTATCCAATTGAAAAACAAACAAATTTTGAAAAACTGAAAAAATGGCAAAATTGTAAAAGCGAATAATCGACAAATTTAAAAAATAATAAAGCAAGAAATTGAAAAGAACCAAAAATTGCCTCATCGAAAAATTTAACACTGAACATCGATCAACTACAAAATTAAATATCCAGAATTTGGAAAACAAAAAAATCGGAAAATTCCGAAAACGTAATAGTGAAAAAGACAAAACAGTAATAGACATTGAAATTAAAAAATTCAAGTTAAAAAATCGAAAAAATTAAAACTGAAACCAGAAAAACTACAAATCGAAAAATTGAAAAAACGAAAAATTGAGAAATCGAAAAGCTGTAGAAACATTTAAACATCGAAAAATTGAAAATTATAAAATCGAAATTTCGAATAGTCTAAAAATCGAAACGAGAACGGTTAATTTAAAACTAGAAAAATTGCAAATCGAAAAATTTTTAATAAATTCGCAAAATTGAAAATCTGAAAACTTAAAAATCGAAATTTGGAATAATTGAAAAATGTTGTCTTCTAGATTAACTGCAAAAAACAAGAAGCGCCGTACCCTGCGTATAGTGAATTCTGTCACGAAGATCCTCGAGAGAAACCCTCCGAATGCAAACTGTGTCCGTGGAGGCCCGAAGACAACCCCAACTTCAAACCACCCAAGAAGAAGTTCCACACTTCGAGCGGGGCGAAGGTGCGTCGCAGCGGGCTAGAAATGGAGTACCAGGAAGCGGAAGTCGACGTGGACGTAGAGGAGCAGGTGGCGGGAGAGCAACGGAAAGGAATGCAGTGCGATTTGCGTAAAGTACGCTGGAGGAGGTAAAAAGAGTAAAATCTGACGGTAAATGTTACAGCCCCCGTGCGAACGGCCGAAGGACACCCGCTGTCCCGCCCCTAAAGACAAAAAGACAAAAGACGAAAAAAAGAAGAAAGATAAGAAGAAAAGCGTGTCACAATTTTTGGAAGACGAGATCCTAGGGCTAAAAACTCGACCCGCCTTTTCGCTCTCGTTGTCCTCGAGCGACAAGGGCGAGCCGTGCAAAGGGCCCTGTAAGAAGTTCAAGTTCCCGGAATGCAAGCAGAAGGTCAAGGAGAAAGAAATCGTCGAAGACAAGTGTCCCAAGAAGAAGAAAAAGCGGAAAATTGTCGACTGCCCGCCAGAGGATGAGAACAAGAAATGTGCTCCGCTGAGGGAGTTAGTGGGGTATAGTTTGACTGGTGGAGGGGGCAATGACAAAGAGAAGAAGAAATGTCCCGAAATCGATCTGACCGTTTTTAGAGAAGATAGAGAAGATCCGTGCACTTTGAAGAGGAAAGGAACCACGAAGGTCTGTCCGGGTGACTTGCTGAAGAAGAAGAGGAGGGGGCCCAAGAAGAAAGCTAGTGGGATCATTACGCCCGTCGAGTCTAAAACCAAGATGCCTCAACAAAGGAAAACCATATAGATGTTGATCAGGGGCGGCTGGTCAGGGGCGGCAGGGTCGGCCACGCCGTACCAGTCATTTTAAAATACTTAGTAAGCGTTGAAATTAGAAAATAAAAAAAGAAATAAAGTTTGAATGTACGTTAGGATAGATCATATATATTAAAAACATATTTTATTATATTGTAGGTACAAAATAAAGCATTTGTTGCTAATTTTAAATGCTGATAAACACGCTTTGCCGGCGAGATTTCGGCAAGCCGTACCCAGGAATGCATTATACTCGATGTTTCGACTTCGTAGCAGCTTACGGTTTCATCGTTCTCTTTGTCTAGTACACTGTAGTAGACAAAGACCTGGCGGAACGTATGTTGTGCCAGGTCCGGCGAAATCCTCCTTCGCCGTACCCAGCAACGCGAATTTAGTTTTTAAAACGCTTAATATTTAAGATAGCTAACCAAATTACAAAACAATAACGGCTTCGATGTTCTTCAGTGCATACTATTTTTTTTTAATAATAATTGTCGATTTAATACATTTTTCTGTGTATGAATAATAAACGAAAAAAATTACATTAAATTATCTAAAATTTTATTTTTCGTACATAACTTAGCTACAACATAAATGCGCTTTTTCTGTATTTTTAGCATCTAAGCGTTTTCAGATATTTCAGAAACGAATTTAAAGTTTTAAATCATTTTAATTTTTCAATTATTCAATTAATTTATTTGACAATTTGTCATATACATTAAAAAAAAATAAATGTAAATGAAGATAGTTAACAGTTGGTACTTTTATTATTACTTTTTTTATATTTTTTAACTGCATGTCATTATTTAATTATTATTATTTAATTGTGGATGTCCGGGGTCGGCAAGCCGTATAGCCGCCGGTCGACGCGGAACTCAGTAAAAATAATGTTTTCGGTGGTTCTCAATTAATGATAAAGCAGAACAAGTAGAATTAAGGATTAATAGTATTTGGAATCAAACTAACATTGTCAATTTCCTATAAAAAATTATTTTAACAGGTCGAAACATTTGAGATGTTTTGTACATCCTGGCACGTAAAATGTCAGTGGTTAATGAGTAGCAGCCATACATTACGAAAATATATAACACCAAGGTGTAGACTCAAAATATTTGGCCGACCCGAAATTTTGACCCACCAGCCGCCACTGATGTTGATACATATGTAAAATAAAAATCAAAAAAAGTTTAAAGAACAAGGTTTTTTTTTTGGAAATATTTTAAATTTTTATCGTGGCACCGATTTTGCAATTTTAGATATTTATTTTAATTTTTTATTTTATCAACTTTTCGATTTTTCAGTTTTAACGGTTTTTAGTTGTTCAATATTTTAATTTTAATTTTTTCGAATTTTCGGTGTCAGGGTTACAATTTCTCTTACTTTTAATTTGTCGATTTTTCAATTTTCCAGATTTTCACTGCGTGTTGCAGAATGTTGAAATTACCGGAGCAAAAATCCTTTGGTTTACAATTTTTCAAAATTTCGGTTATGATAAATTTGTGCTTTTTATTGCAAAATTGCAAAATAAACACCCAAAAATGAACTATAACAATCGAGAACTTGAAAAATTAAATATCTAAAAATTCCATGATCGTAAAACTGAAAATAGGAAATTGAAGAACTAAAAATTGGAAAATCGAAAATAACAAGCAAAACTACCTATCTCAAATTGAAAAATTGTAAAAATTCAAGAAATGGAAAACTGAAAAATCTAAAATCTACAAAATAAAAACTAAAAAATAAAAAATTGAAAAACCAGGTAACTGAAAAATTGAAACATTTTGAAAAATCGAAAAATGAAAAATCCAGAAATTGAAAAATCGAAAAATCAAAAAATGTGATAAAAAAAATTGCAAAATTGTAAAAACGATAAATCCACAATATAAAAATTGAAAAATCGAAAAATTGTAAATTCAAAAAACCTTAACGTTGAAACATCGAAAACCGCAGACTTGAAAAACTAAAAAATTCGAAATCGTGAAACTGGAAAAAACTAGAAATTAAAATATCTCAACAGATAATTTTTATACTTAGTATCGAAAAGCTGAAGAAAAAAAAATTGGAAAATCGAAAAAACAAGCAAAACAACCTATCTCAAATTGAAAAATTGTAAAAATTCAAGAAACGGAAAACTGAAAAATCGAAAATCTGCAAAATAAAAACTAAAAAATATAAAATTGAAAAACGGGGTAACTGAAAAATTGAAAAATTTTGAGAAATCAAAAAATTAAAAATTGAGAAATTGAAAAATCAAAAAGTTAAAAAATGGGATAATAAAAAAATTGCAAAATTATAAAATCGATAAATCCACAACAAAATAAAAATTGAAAAATCGAAAAATTCTAAAATCAAGAAACCGTAACGTTGAAACATCGAAAACCGCAGACTTGAAAAACTAAAAAATTCGAAAACGCGAAATTGAAAAAACTAAAAAAGAAAAAATTGGAAAATTGAGAAATTAGAAATGATGTAACGAAAAATCGCAAAATTTAAAAGCCGTAAAATAAAAAAAAGTAGAAATTAAATTATCTCAACAGACAATTAATTATTATACTTAATATCGAAAAATTGAAGAAAAAAAATGGAAAATCGAAAAAATAAGCAAAATTACCTATCTCAAATTGAAAAATTGTAAAAATTCAAGAAACGGAAAACTGAAAAATCGAAAATCTGCAAAATAAAAACTAAAAAATAAAAAATTGAAAAACGGGGTAACTGAAAAATTGACAAATTTTGAGAAATCGAGAAATTGAAAAATCGAAAAATCGAAAAATCAAAAAAATGGAGAAATCGAAAAATTGCAATCGATAAATCGACAGATGTAGAAATTGAGAAATCGAAAAATTAAAAATCCAGAAATTGAAAACTCAAAAAATCAAAAAATGGGATAATAAAAAAAATGCAAAATTGTAAAATTGATAAATCCACAACAATATAAAAATTGAAAAATCGAAAAATTATAAAAACAAAAAACCGCAACGTTGAAACATCGAAAATCGCAGACTTGCAAAACTAAAAAATTCGAAACGTGAAATTGAAAAAAAAACTAAAAAATAAAAAAAAAGGAAAATTCAGAAATTAAAAATGATGGAACGAAAAATTGAAAAATCGAAAAGTCAAAAAAACGGAGAAATCGAAAAATTGCAAATTTGTAAAATCAATAAATTAACAGATATAGAAATTGAAAAATCGAATATGTAATTGTAAAATTTACAAAAAAAAATTGGTCTAAAGAGTTTCGACAGTACTTCCCTCGCTGTCGGAAACGTGACGACTGCATGCCTATTATGTTTTTTTTTTCGCAGTGGATTTCAAAGAATTCGGTTTTGTTGTTTCTGAGTAAATCAGTAAAATAAATTTACGCATTCATTAATTTTTTTGAGTCACCCTGTATATGCAAATCCAAAAAATATGAATGGAGTGATAGATCACAAGTACAGACTCATCATATTTTGTACATTTTAGATATGATTTATTCGGCAAACTTTCGAGCTGACGTCATCAATTTTTTGGAGGGGATAAGCAAATGTATTTTGACTAAACATTTATTATGCTCTTTATAACCTTAAAACATCTGCAAGATTTCAAAGCATTCGGTTTTGCAGTTCATGATTAAATCGAAAAAATAAATTTACGCATTCATTAATTTTTTTGAGTCACCCTGTATATGCAAATCCAAAAAATATGAATGGAGTGATAAATTACAAGTACAGACTCATCATATTTTGTACAGTTTAGATAAGATTTATTCGGCAAACTTTCGAGCTGACGTCATCAAGTGTTTGGAGGGGATAAGCAAATATATTTTGACTAAACATTTATTATGCTCTTTATGACCTTAAAACATCTGCAAGATTTCAGAGCATTCGGTTTTGTAGTTCCTGATTAAATCAATAAAATATATTTACGCATTCATTAATTTTTTTGAGTCACCCTGTATATGCAAATCCAAAAAATATGAATGGAGTGATAGATCACAAGTACAGACTCATCATATTTTGTACATTTTAGATATGATTTATTCCACAAACTTTTGAGCTGACGTCATCAAGTTTTTGGAGGGGGTAAGCAAATATTTTTTGACTAAAGATTTATGATGCTCTTTATAGCCTTAAAACATCTGCAACATTTCAAAGCATTCTGGTTAGCAGATTAAAAATTAAATTTCAAAATGTTGTTTTATAATTTTGATTTTTTTTCCAAAAATCTGGACGTTTCGGGTGAAAAGTCGATTCGGAGTTGTAAACTACATGTGTAGGACTATGTTATTTTATACAATTGAAAACCCATTTACTATGTACAATTTTGAAGTGACGTCATCGCATTAGTGGTGGGGATGATTAGACAAATTTTGGTTAGCGTTTTACCATCTACATGATATTCTTAATATAAGTACAAAATTTCACAACAATCGGTCGAGTACTTTCGGAGATTATCTGTCTAATAAAAATCCGGGACAACAGACGGACAGACGGACGGACAGACGGACAGACGGACGGACAGACGGACAGACGGACAGACGGACAGACGGACGGACAGACGGACAGACGGACAGACGGACGGACAGACGGACAGACGGACAGACGGACAGACAGACGGAAATGGGAGACCTATTTCTTCGTCTTCTAGGGGTCATGAAAGATCGAGAAAACGTAAAAGTAGAGAGTCGGCCGACGGACTCGATTACAATACTTCCTTTGCTTACGCTCGGGAAGTAAAAAAATGTAAAATCGAAAACCACAACGTGGAAACGTTGAAAAATTGAAAAATCTCATTGAACAATTAACAACAGAAATATTGCGAAATCGTAAAATAACAAAAATAATTAAACAAACGAAAGATCGAAAATTTCAAAAGTTATAAAACCGGAAAACCAAAAAAGATCTGAGAATGGAATAATTGAAAAATTAGGAAAATCAAGAGAAAAATTTAAAAATAGATAGGAGTAATATGAAAAATTGACAAATTGCAAAATTGTAAAATCGAAAAAATGAAAAAACGAAAAATTTTCCAATCGAAACACAGAAAACTGGAAAACTAAACATCGAGAAATGGAAAAAAACAACAACGAATAATTGCAGAAACTGTAACATTGACACATCGAAAAGCTAAAGTCTCCAATCGAAAAACATAGAAAAATTGAAGAAAAGAAAAATTGCAAAGTTAAAATCGAAAAACTGAAAGAATGAACAGTGGGGTAACTGAAAAATAAGAATAATTGAGAAATCGAAAAATCAAGAAAACGAAAAATCGGAAAACTCTGAAAACGAGGAACACTAGTAAAATTGTAAATGAAAAAATTGAAGAAACGAAATATTGGGAAATCAAAAAAATGTAACATAGAAAATTGCAAAAAAAGCAATAATTTCAATATCGAGAAATTGCGAAATCGTAAAATTTGAAGATAAGAAAGTTAAAAAATTGAAGAAATTAAAATTCAAAAGCAGAAAAACTGCAATAAGAAAAATCTAAGAAAAATCACAAAATTGAAAAAAAAACTTGAGAAATTGTAAAATCGAAAAACTGAAGAAATAAGAAATTGAACAATTGAAAATTAAGAAACAAAAAAAAAAATCGCAAAATTGAAAGAATAAATAACTAAATTATTTAAAAATTCAGACGTTTTTAAATCTAAAATTGGAATAATCAACAAATCCAAAACATCGAGAAACTAAAAAATCGAAAAATCGAAAAATTCCAAAATTCAGTGTTGAAAAATTGAAAACTTGAAATATTTTAAATCGAAAAACTGAAGAATCAAAAAACTGAAACATCTAAATGTTCAAAAACAAAAAATTGAAAAATTTGAACATGAAAACTCGAAAAATTACAATATAAAAACCGAAAAACCAAAAAATCGATTAATTCAACATCTTAAAATTGAAAAACTGAAGAAAGAAACAAAAAATTGAAAAATTGCACAATAAAAACACGAAAATTAAGAAATTCAAAAAAAGGGTAATTGAGATATCAGAATAATTGTATCAATCTAACATCGGAAAATTAAAAAATCAAAATATCGAGAAACTGAAAAACAAAAAAATCGAAAACTTGAAAAATAGAAAAATTGCTAGAACGTAAAAATGAAAAAATAAAAAATTGCAAAATGGAAACAAAAAATTCAAAAGTTAAAAATTTGAAAAATTTAAAATTGAAAACTAGAAAAATTGTAATTGAAAAACAAACAAATATTCAAAAACTGAAAAAATCGCAAAATTGTAAAAGCCAATAGTCGACAAATTTAAAAAATAATAAAGCAAGAAATTGAAAAGAACCAAAAATTGCCTCATCGAAAAATTGTAACACTGAAACATCGATAAATCACAAAATTAAATATCCAGAATTTGGAAAACAAAAAATCGAAGACTTAAAAAATCGAAAAATTCCGAAGACATAATAATGAAAAAGACAAAACAATAAAAAACAGTGAAATTAAAAAATTCAAGTCAAAAAATCGAAAAAATTAGAACTGAAACCACAAAAACTACAAATCGAAAAATTGAAGAAACGAAAAATTGAGAAATCGAAAAGCTGTAGATAACATTTAAATATCGAAAAATTGCAAAATATAAAATCGAAAATTCGAACAGTCTAAAAGTCGAAAAATTGAAAGAACGGTTAATTTAAAAATTAAAAATTTGCGAAATTGTAAAATGTAAAAATCCCAAGGTTAAAAAAACGAAAAAATTAAAGCTAAAAACTGGAAAAATTGTAAATCGAAAAATTTAAGTAAATTCGCAAAACTGAAAAAAAAATATTGAAAAGTTGAAAAGGTAAAAATCGAAAGTTGGAATAGGTACTTGAAAAATCAGCTAAATTTGAGAGATCAAAAATTTACAAATTGTAAAATTGGAAAAAAAAAATTAAAAATGCAAGCCGATAAATTGAAGAAACGAAAAATTGAAAAATGAAAAAATTTAAAACTGGGAAACCAAAAAATCGAAAAAAATTATAGAAAAATTGCAGAAGTCAAATATTCATAAATTGAAAACTTCAAAAATCGAAAAATTTCAAAATGTAAACATGAAAAAGAGAAAATTATAAAGTTCAAGTTAAAAAACAAAAAAAATTAAACTGAAGAAACGGAAATTTTAAAAATTAGAAAACTAAAAATCAAAAAAATTTAAAATTGTATTGCAAATGAAAAGAAGCGAGTTTCATTTTCGTTTATTCCCACAAAGTGAAAACTTAAAGATATTACACATCATACAGTGCTACCGTTCTATATTGTTAATAATATTTATTATACGCAGGTCTAGGCACTTTTTAAAACTTTTCTCCCATTTTGATATTGTATATTTCTGTTGTTAAAACGAACAAGTTGACCCGCCTTATCGTTGATGTCTATTAAAGCGTAGTACTAGAATTTTAAATTATTATTTTTTTTTCACATCGATCAATGTCAATACCTGTGAAAGTGATATATAGGACGGTCCTTGAAAGATTACATAAGTTACGATTTCGTCGCACTTTGGCCTCATATACGACCCAAAATAGCGAAAATATCTTATATATTTTTTCGGAATAAAGTCGCTAATGACTATTTCTTCTTGCAGAGGAACAGGGCCTTCGTTCATTTTATGAGAGATTTCTGGAATACTGCGAATTAAATTATCAAAAATAGGATTAGACTTTTCAGAAATCTACAAAAAAAACTGTCTTATGTGGCTATTTCAAAAAATTTAAGTACTTCAAAAAATGCACAAAGTGCAACAAATCCATCCTTGTGAGGAATTGCATTTTCAGGCTTTCCATATTTCGTTGCATAGAAAACCAAAGTAATTTCTAGCGGAAATCTTAAAAAAAAAATATGTATATATTTTTGGAACTGTTCTCGTGTGCATTTTACCTTTTATTGTTTATTCTGTGCTGAGATGGCCATCGAAAATCAAATCGCAAAAAGGCAAAACTTCCGTTTAAACCACCTTTTGAAATTACTGCTTTGGTTGACATGTCCTCCAAATATATAGCCACTATAATACGGCAAGTCAGTCATTTTTGGCTTAAGGCTGTTACTACACCAAAGGGAAAAAGAAATAGCGTCGGTCGAATATAAGAATAAATAGTAGAGTAACATAATTATTCAAGGTTTTAATGTTACATTTTTTAATTTTTAATTTGTCCATTTTTTAATTTTTCACATTTTCACAACGTGTTTTGATGTTCCACAGGTAAACATCGAAAATGTCGCAGCAAGAAAACTCCTGCAAAATTTCCTAGTCTACATTTTTTTTAAATTTCAGTTTTCATAAATTTGTTCTTTTTTGTTAAAAAAATGAAAAATAAAAACCGAAAAAATGAAATATTAAAGATCGAGAACTTGAAAAATTGAAAATCTAAAAATTGCATAATTGTAAAATTGAAAAATTAAAAAAACTACAAGTTGAAAAATCGAAAAATTAAAAATCGCGAATGGGAAACTTTTGGTGGTTGAGAAATTAAGAAATTACGAAATTGGAAAATTGAAAAATCCAGAAAACGAAAAATTGAAGAATTAAAAATCCAAAAATGGAAAAATAAAAAAACAAATTGAAAAATCTAACATGTGATTGACAAATTTAATTGAGAAATAAAAAAAAATTCGAAGCTGGAAAAAATGAACAATCAAAAAGCCGAAAAATTGAAAAATTGGAAACACATTGGAAAAATTGAAGAAACGAAAAACTTAAAAAGTGCAAAATAAAAACCGAAAAAGTAAAAAATTGAAAACTTAAGTAATTGAAACGTTGTAAAAATTTAGAAATCGGAAAATTAAAAATCGAGATATTGACAAGTCGAAAAACTGAAAAATCTAAAAATTGTAAAATTGAAAAATCGAAAAATTAAAAAATTGCAAAAAAATCAAAAACTTGAATAACCGAAAAATTGCGAAGAAGTACAAACTAAAAAATATGTACAAAGCTGAAATATCCACCAATTTAAAAACTGAAAAATCGAAAAACTGTATGTAACACTGAAAAATTCAAAAATCGAAAAATTAAAAATTGAAAACTTAAAAAATCTGAAAATTGAATAATTAAAATATTTCATTGAACAATCGAAACATTGCGAAATCGTAAATTTAAAAAATTGGAACTTTCAACAGTCAAAAACTTGAAATTTTCAAAAGTTAAAAAATTGAAAACTTGAAAATCCGAAAATTCAAGGAACGGAAAATCACAAAACTGAAAAAACAGTACATTAAATTATCGAAAAATTAAAGACTTGTAAAATTGAAAAATTGCAAAATAAAAACCGAAAAACTAAAAGATTTTAAAATGAAGTCATTGAAACATTGTAAAAATTGAGAAATCGGAAAATTAAAAATCGAGAAACTGACAAATAGAAAAATCGCAAAATTGAAAAATTAAAAAAACTACAAGTTGAAAAATCGAAAAATTAAAAATCGAGAATGGGAAAATTTTGGTGGTTGAGAAATTAAGAAATTACGAAATTGGAAAATTGAAAAATCCAGAAAAAGAAAAGAAGAAATTGAAGAATTAAAAATCCAAAAATGGAAAAATAAAAAAAAAGAACTTGAAAAATCTAATATGTGATTGACAAATTTAATTGAGAAATAAAAAAAATTCGAAGCTGGAAAAAATGAACAATCAAAAAGCCGAAAAATTTAAAAATTGGAAACACAGAAAAATTGAAGAAACGAAAAACTTAAAAAGTGCAAAATAAAAACCGAAAAAGTAAAAATTGAAAACTTAAGTAATTGAAACGTTGTAAAAATTTAGAAATCGGAAAATTAAAAACCGAGATATTGACAAGTCGAAAAACTGAAAAATCTAAAAATTGTAAAATTGAAAAATCGAAAAATTAAAAAATTGCAAAAAAATCAAAAACTTGAATAACCGAAAAATTGTGAAGAAGTACAAACTAAAAAATACAAAGCTGAAATATCCACCAATTTAAAAACTGAAAAATCGAAAAACTGTATGTAACACTGAAAAATTCAAAAATCGAAAAATTAAAAATTGAAAACTTAAAAAATCTGAAAATTGAATAATTAAAATATTTCATTGAACAATCGAAACATTGCGAAATCGTAAATTTAAAAAATTGGAACATTCAACAGTCAAAAACTTGAAATTTTCAAAAGTTAAAAACTTGAAAACTTGAAAATCCGAAAATTCAAAGAACGGAAAATCACAAAACTGAAAAAACAGTACATTAAATTATCGAAAAATTAAAGACTTGTAAAATTGAAAAATTGCAAAATAAGAACCGAAAAACTAAAAGATTTTAAAATGAAGTCATTGAAACATTGTAAAAAATGAGAAATCGGAAAATTAAAAATCGAGAAACTGACAAATAGAAAAATCGCAAAATTGAAAAATCGAAAAATTGCAATATTGCAAAAAATCGAAACCTTGAAAAATTGTGAAAACGTATAAACTAAAAAACAAAAAACTGACATCCACCAATTTAAAAACTGAAAAATCGAAAATCAAAAATTGAAAAATCCAAGAATTGTTCATTCAAAAAATTGTAACACGGAAGCATCAAACAAGCGAAAAATTTGTCAACTAGGAATTGAAAAAAAAACTAAAAATCGAAAAACCGTATGTAACACTGAAACATATAAAAACTGAAAAATTGAAAAATTAAAAAATCTAATTGAAAAATTGAAGAATTGTGAAATCATAAAATTGAAATTGAATTAAAATCGAAAAATTCAAAAGTTAAAAAAATCGATAAAACAGACAAACGAAATACCCAAAAAAAATATATATTTTAAATTGGACAATAAAAAAACAATGAAATCGAAAAATTGAAATTTTGGAAAATTAAAAAAAAGGGAATAATTGAAATATCGAAAGTTCCCAAAATTTCAAAATTCAAAAATCCAAAAATTAAAAAGCGAAAACTGAAAAAAATTGAAAATTGAAAAATTAAAACATTTAATTAAAAAAACCAAACATTATGAAGCCGTAAGATTAAAAAAATCAATAGTGAAAAATTTGAAATTTTCAAAACTTAAAAGATTGAAAATTGATAAACCCAAAAATCAAGGAACAAAAAATCGTAAAATCAAATTACCGAAAAATTGAAGAAACGAAAAACCGAAAAATTGTAAAAGAAAAACCGAAAAACAAAAAAATTGGAAAATGGAGTAATTAGCAAATCGAAAAATAGAAAAATTCCAACGTTGTAAGGTCGAAAAGTCGAAAAATGTAAAAATTGAAAACGCTGGAACATCGAACAACTGAAAAAAAACCTTAAAAATCTAATTTGAAAAAAAAACACCGAATGTGAAATTTTTCAAAGGTTAAAAAATCGAAAAAATATAAAATAGAACCAAAAATCTAAAAAAATTGAAAAAGCAAGTCTGTAATTCAAACATCGGAGAAAACCAAGCACACGAAAATTTAAAAATCGCGCAACGAAAAAATTAAAAATCAAAAGCTTGAAAAATATAGGTAATAATGAAAAATTCAAAAATTGCGAAATCATAAAATCTAAAAAATCAAAAATTAAAATCGAAAAATTCAAAAGTTGAAAAAATCGAAAAACAGAAGAAACGAAAAACAAAAAATTATTGAAAAATTATAAAATCGAAAAATGAAATATCGTAAAATTAAAAATAGAAAAAGGGAATAATTGAAACATCCAAAGTTCGCAAAATTTTAAAATTTAAAAATCGAAACTGCGAATCGTCAAGTTAAAAAACTGGAATACTCAACACTCAAGAACTTGAAATTTTCAAAAGTTAAAACATTGACCACTTGAAAAACCGTCAAGGACGGAAAATAACAAAATTGAAAATTGCAAAATAGAACCGAAAAACTAAAAAATTGCAAAAAATCGAAAACTTAAAAAACAGAAAAATTGTAAAAACTACAAACTAAAAAATAAAAAACTGAAATATCCATCAATTTAAAAACTGAAAAATCGAAAATCGAAGAATTGAAAAATCAAAAAATTGTAACACCGAAACCTCAAAAAACTGAAAAATTAGTAAACTAGGAACTTAAAACAAAAACTAAAACATCTAAAAACTTAAAATTTGAAAGATTAATAAAATAAAACACCCCAATGTGAAATTTTTCAAAAGTTAAAAAATCAAAAAAATGTAAAATAAAATCGAAAATCTAAAAAACTGATAAATCAAGTATGTAATTCAAACGTCGGAAAAAACCAAGAACTCGAAAAATGAAAAATCGTGAAAAACTTGAAAAATATAAAAAAGAAAAAAATGAAAAATTTAAAGATTATGAAATCATAACATTGAAAAAATTAAAAATTAAAATTAAAAACAGAAGAAATGAAAAATCTAATAAAACAAAAATTATTAAAAAATTGGAAAATTGTGAAATCGAAAAATTGAAATTTCGGAAAATTAAAAAAAAAGAATAATTGAAATATCGAAAGTTCGCAAAATTTTAAAATTCAAAAATCGAAGACTTAAAAATTCAATAGTCAAAAACTTGAAATTTTTAAAAGTTAAAAGATAAAAAAATTGAAAAACCCAAAAATCAAGGAATAAAATATCACAAAACAAATTACCGAAAAATTGAAGAATTGTAAACTCGAAAAATTGCAAAATAAAAATTGAAAGTTCGAAAATGGAGTAATTGAAAAATCTGAAAAACTGAGAAATCGGAAAATTAAAAAACAGGAAATAATAAATCGGGAAATTGAAAAATTGAAGAAACGAAAAACTGAAAAATGGGAAAATTAAAAATCAAAATTGAGACCTCGATAAGGTTTAAAAAACAAGAAATTAAATTATCTATACATTGAAAAATATAAAATCGAGAAACTGAGGAAACGAAAAACAGAAAAATCGAAAAATTTTAAAGGAAAAACCGAAAAACAAAAATATTGAAAAATGGAGTAATTAGAAAATCGAAAAATAGAAAAATTCCAACATTGTACGGTCATAAAATAAAAAAATTTAAAGATTGAAAACGCTAGAACATCGAACAACTGAAGAATTAAAATTCTAATTGAAAAAAAACACCGAATGTGAAATTTTGCAAAAGTTAAAAAAACGAAAAATTGTAAAATAAAACCGAAAATCTAAAAAAATTGAAAAATCAAGTATGTAATTCAAACATCGGAGAAAACCAAGAATCGAAAATTTAAATCGAGAAATAGAAAAATAAAAAATCAAAAGCTTGAAAAATGTAGGTAATGAATGAAAAATTCATTGAAAAAATTAAAAATTATTAAAAAATTGGAGAATGATGAAATCGAAAACTTGAAATTTCGGAAAATTAAAAGACAACGAGTATGATTGAAATAACGAAAATTCGCAAAATTTTAAAATAAAAAAATCGAAACATTGTGAAATCGTAAAGTTGAAAAATTCAATAGTCAAAAATTTCAAATTTTAAAAGTTATAAGATCGAAAAATTGAAAAACCCAAAAATCAAGGAAGAAAAAATCGCAAAACCAAATTACCGAAAAACTGAAGAATTGTAAAATCGAAAAATTGCTAAATAAAAATCGAAAATTGAAAGTTCGAAAAAAACAAGAAATAAAAAATTGGAACCTGGGAAAATTAAAAATCGAGAACCGAAAAATAGCAAAATTGAAACCCCGATAAAGTTTAAAAAACAAGAAATTAAATGATCTAAATATTGAAGAATATAAAATCGAAAGACTGAGGAAACGAAGAACCGAAAAATCGAAAAATTGTAAAAGAAAAACCGAAAAACATAAAAAATTGAAAAATGGAGTAATTAGAAAATCGAAAAATAGAAAAATTCCAACATTGTAAAGTCGAAGGAAGGAATAACGAAGAAATCGGTAAAATTGAGAAATAAAAAATTTACAAATAGAAAAATAAATTTTAAACTGGAAAACTAAAAAATCGAAAAATTTCAAAATTCAAATTCTAAAAAATTGAAACAAATGCAAAATAAAAACGGAAAAACTAAGCATCGAGAAATTAAAAAATCGATAAAACAATAAATTTAAAAATTGAAAAATCGAAAGAAACTATCTTTTGCCCGCTTCAATGTAACAACCGCCTTAAGCGACTAAAACCTGTGTAATCCTCGTTTCTAATGTTGGCTTTTAATTTTTCACTAATTTTATTGTTAAACTGTAAAGGAGCAGTTTTTGCGAGTGTGGCGTTCTTTATGTGGATGTTAATGGGAGATTGCTTTCTTCCATCTAAACAATCTTTGGCAGGCCATTTCCCTAAAATTGGTATTACATCTATGTTATTCAAAAGTTCCTAAACACTTGACTAAATTTATCTTACTCTGTTCTAAGTAATTCCAGTCAGCCACCGCTTTATTCGCTACAAAAATGCCTAAGAGCAATTTTACAAATAAATAAATAAATAAATAATAATAAAGTTAATAGTACTTACAGATGAAAAATAAAATACAGAAGTTGGTCATTTCCGCATTCGTTAGGGCGTGAAGTAAGGCAAAAGACACATATAAAATGTTTTAAAAGTTCTTTTATACTAAAGGCTGCACATGAATATGTTAAGTAAGTACATAAATTTTCATGTGGCAATAGATAATATTATGTATTTCTGTCACCAAAAATAGTTTATTGCAAACATCCATACTAATTAATGGTACTTTCGCAAAAAAAGCTATAACAATAACAAAAAAACAAAAATAACTTGCGTTTCCACTGCTTATCAAAAAACTAATGGTCGCATAAAGAAGTGGAAAAGTCCAAATTATATAGAATTTCCTAGCTATTAAAGTCATTAACTTGTTGATGGCGATGAATATACAAACGCTGATAGCGATATAACAAACACAACATAATAATTAAAATAATAAAACAAACCTGTCAAAAACAAAAATTGTAAGAACTTTTAGTGATTTCAAGTTTGCAGTTGGTAGTGTTAATGTTGGCAGAACTAGCCGTCACCTGTCAAACCTGTCAATCGACTTATTTAACCTCACCACTTTATTTTCGTTTAAAACCGGCGCCTTATTAGTGATTGTTCATTAATAACCCCCAAAATGGACGAAAACCCCCAAAAAGGCCCCATTTGTTTGATCGTTTTAGGCATGGCAGGCTCCGGCAAAACTTCCCTCGTCACCCGATTAACGAACTCCCCGAAGAAGCCCTACGTTATAAATCTGGACCCCGCATGCATCCAGTTACCGTATTTCGCCAACATTGGTAACCCACCCTCGACAGCCCCAATTCATTTTTCACATATTTCAAATTCCAGACATCAGAGACACCGTCAACTACAAAGAGGTCATGAAACAATATAAACTGGGTCCGAATGGGGCAATCGTGACCTCGCTTAACCTATTCTCGACGAAGTTCTCCGAAGTGATCGGGTTTGTGGAAAAGTCACCCAACGAACTGTGCATTTTGGACACCCCAGGACAGATCGAGGTGTTCACTTGGTCAGTTTCCGGTTCTATTATCACGGAAACTTTGGCTTCGAGTTTACCCACGGCTATTTTGTACGTTGTGGACTGTGTCCGCAGCACCTCGCCGGTGACTTTCATGTCCAACATGCTTTACGCGTGTTCGATTTTATACAAAACTCGGCTACCGTTTATTATTGTTATGAACAAAGTGGATATAGTTGATCATTCGTACGCTGTTGACTGGATGAACGACTTTGAGTCGTTCCAACAGGCTTTGGAAGCCGATGAGAGCTACATTAGCAACTTGACTCGCTCCATGGCGCTGACTCTCGATGAGTTCTACCGGAATTTGAAAGTTTGTGGGGTGAGCGCAGCCACGGGGCAGGGGGTTGAAGACTTGTATAAATTAATAGAGGAGGCGCGGGTGTCATACGAACAGTGAGTTTCAAACTACGCTTTTTTTACTATTAATAAGTTTTGTGGTTAAAGGGAGTACCGAAGCGAATGGGAAAAAATTAAGACGAAGATTGAGGTTCAAAAAAACGAAAAAGCGGAAATTTCTGGTGGTCAGTGTTTTACTTTGTCGGCTGGTGCGGAACTCTCAGATGTGTTTCTGAGGCGTCCGGGGAATGTGAGTAGTTCAGACTCGGAAGGGGAGGAGGTTCCATTTCAAAGTATTGTGGTCGTTTTGGGAGTTTTTGTATTTATTTTTGTTTTGTAGTTGCCGAAGAAGATGTAGAAGCTAACACTTTTAAGAGGGTTGTAAGGCAACAAAGAGAGATGCAAATAAAGAGGGCGAAGGAAGCGGAGAGTAAAAAGAAAGCGGCGGAAACCACGTAGTGTGTGATTGTTTTGTATTAACTTTTAAGAATAAAGTGCGGTTATTTTTTTATTACAATTTTTTTAACTGAAAAATAATACACTTTTGAAAAAAACAAAAAGCCTAATTGTTGTAAAAGTTGAGACATCGTAAAATCGAAAAACTGAAGAAGCCAAAAATTGAAAAATGGAAAAATAAAAATCGAAAAATCAAAAAAAAAAAAATAAAATCGAGGAAACGAAAAATTGGAAAAACAGGAAACTAAATTACTCAAAATTTAAACAATTGAGGGAAAATATAGACAAATCGAAAAATTAAAAATCTAGAAATTGAAAAATCGAAAAATAGACACTTAAACACTGAAAAACGGAAAGATTAAAGATCTCTTGATTTTCAATTTTTCTGTTGGAGTTTTCAATATCTTCATTGAAAAATCCGAATGAAAAATATAAAATTTGCGAAATCGTAAAAAAAATGAATAATTAAAAAGCTACAACTTGTTAAAAATGTCGAAAAATCGAAAAACTGCAAAATAACTATCGAAAATAAGGAAAAATATAAGAAAAGGACGAATAGTTGCCGAAAAAATTAAGAATAATGATAACACTATGCAACACTAAAAAATTCACAGAAAGTTCAGATAGTGTTTGAGGTTGGGTATACTCCATATACTAAAGAAAAAAATGTTTTATACTCATATCACATCACAAAACACAGATAACGGGTGTTTTGTTTTTCTTACTTTTTGAGACACTTGATTGCATTTAATCGTAAAAATATCGCTTTTATGTATCCACCCATGCTTGCAGACTTCTGCTGGTGTCTTCAGAGGGATATTGCGAGATCTGGCTACAATAGGAATGCCAATCGTTCGATAAAAAAGACCTTTTCTAATGAAAAATGAAGTATTGTTTTATTAATTTTGTATGATTTCAAAAAATTCAATAAACACTTTTCACTGTGATACCTGATGTAATAGGTTGGGTACCTATACTCCATATACTAAAGAAAAAAATGTTTTATACCCATATCACATCATAAAACATATATAACGGGTGTTTTGTTTTTCTTACTTTTTGGGTCACTTGATTGCAGTTAATCGTAAAAATATCGGTTTTATGTACCCACCCATGCTTGCAGATTTCTGTTGGTGTCTTCAGAGGGATACTGCGAGATCTGGCTATAATAGGAATGCCAATCGTTCGAAAAAAAAAGACCTTTTTCAATGAAAAATGAAGTATTGTTTTATTAATTTTGTATGATTTCAAAAAATTCAATAAACATTTTTCATTGTGATACCTGATGTGATATGTTGGGTACCTATACTCCATATACTAAAGAAAAAAATGTTTTATACTCATATCACATCACAAAACATAGCTAACGGGTATTTTGTTTTTCTTACTTTTTGGGACACTTGATTGCATTTTATCGTAAAAATATCGCTTTTATGTATCCACCCATGCTTGCAGACTTCTGTTGGTGTCTTCAGAGGGATACTGCGAGATCTGGCTACAATAAGAATGCCAATCGTTCGAAAAAAAAGACCTTTTTCAATGAAAAATGAAGTTTTGTTTTATTAATTTTGTATGATTTCAAAAAATTCAATAAACACTTTTCACTTTGAAACCTGATGTGATACGATTCTTTCAAGCATGATCCTCAATTGAGTTTGAGGTAAGAAATTTTAACTACATACTGTGCATTCTGTGAATTTTTTTTTTTTTAATTTGTTGCATAGTGTAATCAAGAAATTCAAAAATCGCAAAACGAAACGGGAAAAAATTGATTAATAAAAAATCGAAAACATGAAAAAATCCAAAAATTGCGAAAACGTAATAATGAAAAAAAAAACAACTCAAAATTGTAAACCTTGAAATATTGAAAAATGGTGAAATCGCAAAATTGAAAAATTCAGAAGTGAAAAAATTGAAAAATAGAAAAAACAAGAAAAATAAGTGATCTAAAACTGCAACATTGAAACATAGGAAACCTGAAACATTGAAAAATTAAAAATACTAAATAAAAATGTAAAATTGAAAAAAATTAAAAATTAAAAAATCGAAAAACTAAAGAAACGAAAAATTAAAAAAATTGAGAAACAGAAAAAACACGAAAAATAAATTATCTACAACTACAACATTGAAACATCGAAAAACTGAAACATTCAAAAATTAAGTCTAGATAAAAATGAAAAATTCAAGAATTGAAAACTTAAAATATTAAAATTGAAAACCAGAAAAATTGTGTATTAAAAAATTTTAGAAATGAGAAACTGAAGAACAGAAGAATTACACATCGAATCGAAAAAACAAAAAACCTAATTGTTGTAAAAATTGAGAAATTGTAAAATTGGAAAACTGAAGAAGCTAAAAATTGAAAAATGGAAAAGCGAAAAATTAAAAATAGTGAATTGGAAAAATAAAAATCGAAAAATTGAACAAACAAAATTAAATTACTGAAAATTGAAAAACTTGAGGAAAAGAGGGAACCTAATTGAAATATAGACAAATCGAAAAATTAAAAATTTAGATATTGAAAAATCGAAAAACAGACATTGAAACACTGAAAAAAAATTGATTTTCAATTTTTCCATTGGAGTTTTCAATATCTTAGTTGAGAAATCCAAATGAAAAATATAAAATCTGCGAAATCGTAAAACTAAAAAAATGAATAATTAAAAAGTTAAAACTGGTTAAAAATGTCGAAAAATGGAACAACTGCAAAATAACAATCGAAAAGAACGAAAAATAGAAGAAAATGACGAATAGTTGACGGAAAAATTAAGAAATCAAAAAATTGATAATCAAGAAATTCAAAAATCGCAAAATGAAACGGGAAAAAATTCATAAATAAAAAATCCAAAAATTGTGAAAACGTAATAATGAAAAAAAAAATGCAAAATCGAAAAACTGCAAAATTGCAAACATTGAAACATTGGAAAATTCTAAAAATTTAAAAATCAAAAAATCCAATTGAAAAATTGAGAAATTGTGAAATCGTAAAATTGAAAAATTCAGAAGTTAAAAAATCGAAAAATTAAAAAATAGAAAAAACAAGAAAAATAAGTGATCTAAAACTGCAACATTGAAACATAGGAAACCTGGAACATTGAAAAATTAAAAATACTAAATTAAAATGTAAAATTGAAAAAAATTAAAAATTAAAAAAATCGAAAAACTAAAGAAACGAAAAATAAAGAAAAATGAAAAATAGAAAAAACACGAAAAATAAGTCTACAACTACAACATGGAAACATCGAAAAACTGAAACATTAAAA